GACACACCCTGGGCTGCACAATGCTCCTCAGTACAATTTTGTGCGTAATTTGTACTCTGTAAAAACCAATTGTATACGAATTAACAGATTGTACTCCTTTAACTAAAAATACATCAGAAACTAAGGTTGTTTAATTCAGCACTTTCATTTGCCATCATATGTCATTATGTGAAACTGGGTTTCTTCTCAATATTTTTCGCTTTTGTGTGCAAAATAGATTGTCAGTACCATTGTATGCAAGGTATGACTCAATCCCAGGTTATCAAAATGGCAGCAAGCAATTCCACCAGTTTGGAATAGTGAGATTTGAAAATCCCTAAAATCATTTGTCAACAAAAGTTTTCATCCCTGGAATAATAAGATTATCATTTCTGTACTGTGAACGTTGTAAGGCTGATGTGTCCATTTCACATTACAGTAATTATGACATTACAAGACATTTGAAAACAAATCAAAATGCAAAAATAACAAATTTTGACACATTTCAGCCTGACTCTTATTAAAAACCTATTGCTCATTTGTTTGAATTAAACAACTACCATGTCTTGTCAAAGATTAATGGCAGCATTTGCGTTTGATTCAAATATTTTATATATAGAGATGATAAGACATCTCTATTCATAGTACTTGATGCCTAATGATCCAAGTGTTTACCTGAATGAGTTGTTTGGATGAATGTAATCAATATAAAGAAATCGTTAAATTACTGTAACAGGCTCTTATTGCAACAACAAAAGAAGCATTTGTTTGTAAGCTCCCATTGTGAAACACCTGATGTAAGCTTCATTAACTTGCAACTCATACGAGCACCACACAGGGACACAGTGAGTGTTCTCAGCATTCAGGACCAGTAGACATGTTTACTTCCACTAGGCTTGACTGATCACAAGCATCAATGATTAATTTGCTTAGTAAAGACATCACATGTATTTTTCAAGTGTGCTTCATGTGTTTAGAGAATTAATGTCTTTCTACCTGTTTGCCATTGTTGTAGGATGGTCTGTTTCAATGCTAACGTGATGGGTAATTGTGGTACTGCAGCTGGTCATTATTCTTCACTAGACTGTGTCCCAGCTGCAGGCAGAAGAACATCTTCACTATTTAGTAGTATAATACTTTATAGTTCATATATAAATATCAATTACTCTTGCTGGCCATATTGCCATGATTATTTATACTATTCTATGTAATATACTAGTACTACTCCAGAGTAGATAAGGTCCACCTGATTCTATTATATCACTGTAATTAATCTGTCATGATTCTGTCATGATCTGTCAGGTCTATTAAGTAGTATACATATTCCTTTAACTCATGATAAGGCACACCTGTGTGTCTCCTTTCCATAAAATTGCTTTGTTGTTTGAACACTGACACAGTCAGGTAAGTCTCCTAGCCTGGCTACCTGACCTGTTAGTTGCCTCGTACCTCAAGTGTAAGTTGCTTATGACCTATATTAGTACCCAGAATCCTAGCTGATGTATTCCTTAAAAGAGATGTGTTGTGATATGTAACACATGCGACAGGTCTGGTGTAACATCAACGTGGTGTAGTATTTGTGGTTATTGTCTGAGGGTATATTGACAAAGATGGAAAACACTAGTTACTGCTGGTTTCAACTTTATTAATGCCTAATGTATCTATTACCTTTATGTTAGCAGACAACCCCAACAGTGGTGACTAGACACCTAGCCATGAATGTTCTTGGAGATGATGCTTGATTGTATCTGCTTGACTGCTGCCTTCCGCTTAGTGTACTCTCGGGAATAAACACTTGACATCAAGTCACTAAAATATTTAATAGCCAACCTTTGCCAGTTATGATTACATTCTTATTTACTGTGATGTAAAAGACCATGACTTTGTTGTAATTTGTATCAGCAATGCCAGTTCTTATCCTTTCTCTTCTACATGGCATATTGGAAGGCTAGAGCTGATAAACTGGGGTTGATGTAGGCAAGAGCAAGCAGCCATGAATATAGGTTCTTGCACAGCACTGGAAGTGCAATAATCATGAACACAACATCTAATCTATTTTACCTCACCTGTTTCATTTCTCTACCAGAATTAGAGAAAATAAGCATAACCATCAAATTCAAAATGTCCATCTGTTTAAAAATTACAGATTAGTAGGTCCAATAGATCAACCGTATTGTTGCTGTATTGTGGACTCTGATTGTAGAAGTGTAGAAGTATACTATGGCCCTTAAATCAATTGACATGGCACTCATAACATCAATCTCAAAAATAGGTTGGATACTAGTAGTTAAGGATTCTTTCTTTTTTTGCACAATTCAGGGTTTGTAAAATATGCTGGTTTGTCAATTAATTACAAAGGCAATTATAAGGGGTGAATGAACGTGTAGATTTGTTTATTTGAAGGAAACGTATGCGCAGCTGATTGCTATGTCCAGGGCCGTTCAACAGACAATACACACGTTACAGTAATCATAATATTTGCATATATAATCATGCCTTACAGAACTGTAGACAAACTTTTAATTAAGTCTAGTCATATTTTGTTTCAAATTTCAATGTTTTATTTCCAAGTTTGTTAATACATGTTTATTGATACCCGAATTTGCAGAAGGGATACTAGTATTCTGTCTGCATCTAATACTTGATAAGAAAAAATGATGCTCCATACACTATGCTCAACACAAAACAGTTCATGGTAATGAAGTACTTGACATCAATCTGAATCTGTTAAGATCTGTTGCTCTTGTTCAGCTACTTCAAAAGTTTATAGACCCGTGAAGATCCGGGGTAGAATAGGTCTTCAGCAACCCATTGTTGTCATAAAAGGCGACTATGCTTGTCGTAAAAGGCGACTAACGGGATTGGGTGGTCAGGCTCGCTGACTTGGTTGACACATGTCATTGGTTCCCAATTGCGCAGATCGATGCTCATGCTGATCACTGGATTGACTGGTCCAGACTCCATTATTTACAGACCACCGCCATATAGCTGGAATATTGCTGAGTGCGGCGTCAAACTCAACTCACTCACTCACTCACTCACTCAATAGTTTCTAGGACATACTCCTAATATTGACTAGGGTCATGGCAATGCAGTGGTAGCTGTATCATACATATTGTGGAAGCAAGTTGTAAATGTTAATGAAACACTAACTGATGTATGTTAACACCTTCAGCAAAATATAGTACTTGACAATAATTATTACTTCTCATGCCAGTTGATATGTTATATTTACATATGTTGTTTTGTATCAGTAAATGGCTTTGTGATGTGGTAGCCTGTCTTCATGGCCAATAGCCTCGCCCTCCGTGGTCCATCACCACTGACTTGACTGAGACTATCAGCTGCTATAGCACACACTCTTGGCGAATATCACACACACTTCTGTAGTTGTGCTGCTGCAACAAGATCGCAGATAATACAGTGTAGTCGGGAATTCCTGTCTTGTCTGATATGTCATTATCATTGATGTTGGTGGTCTTGATGGATTGCAGCAGTATAGGGTTAGGATGTCATGACAAGATGGAGTAGGATAGGAGTCACTTTCACCTGCAGAATACTTACTTGATGATGATGGAAAGAATATATATACTGAACTGAGAAGAAGTTATTACATATATTATTTATTTCACTCTGCCTCCCCCCCCTCCCCTCCCCACCCCACCCACACACAGACACACACTCACAGACAGATACAAAGATTATCATATTCTACTCACCCTTGAGATTCTACGCAAGACAAATTAACACAGACAAGCAGGCTAGTGCCAATGCATCCCTTAACTGTCAGCCATGTACACAGAGAATTTGGTAGTATTCAGACTTAGAAGTTTTCATTATGAAATACTAAGCCCCTATATATCTTGTGAAGAGTTCAGTAGAAACCGGGGACTGAATAATGTCTGTATACTGAGGTCAATCTCTTCTCCCTAAAAAGAGGCTTTAAGAGAACTGTGCAGCTGTCTCCAGACCAATGCTTAGAAGTCATGGACTGATGTCCCAGGAGGGTAGCTCTTCCATTATGGTCCCATCTGCCACTCTCAGACAAGCCTCACCAGCCATTTGTCACCATGGTGATGGCCAGATAATCATGTTTACCTTCACCCTACTTACCTTGTTAAGCAAAAACCATCCTCCTTCGTGTTGGCAAAACTGCATCACTGGAGATGTATAATTATGACTTCGTGATGAATAACAAGTATTTTTGTAACAATTTGTTTGAACTGGATTTTGACAGGAGACATGCCTTTGTTTGGTTTGGGTTGTACAATCTAATGAATGCTTTGTTTGACATGACCTTGCACTGGTCATATGATTCTTACTGTTATAGCTTATTTGGAAATCATTACATTGTTTTGTTCTCATTGAAGTTGATATTGTGGTGAGTTGAGTTGAAGGCTGAGGTCTTCAGGTGTACTGTTGGTTGGCCGACCTGTACAAACTGCAGTGGCAGTAAACTAACAGAGATTAGGGTGTGTTTTACAGCACAGACTTACAGTAGCTTTATATTGTAGAGGAGGACGTTAGGGAGCACAACACAACACACACTTTCCACATCTAGAAGTTGGAAGAACATGAACAGTGCAAAGAATACACATAATCTATTTTATCCATGGTTGATGAGACAGCCCACAGTGAGATCAAGGACAAATTCAGTTAGTCAGATGGCTACACTTTCAGAAACCTATTCTTGGACCCGCCAGTAGTTTGTCTGTAAGATAGCTAAATGTGGTATAAACTCAACACGCTCCCCTTCCCCATAAGATATAGCATTCTTGTAGCTAGTGTCCCTTATCCATAATCAATTTCTTTGTTTGAATACCAAGTCTGGCTCTCAGTTGGTTTTTCCTTTCCCAAGAAATAAAAAATTCATCAAAACAGAATTTTCCATACCATGCATACAGTGTGTTTGCTGAGTAAACATTCATGACTATGTGTTGTATTTGAAAGCTAGGATCGTCTTTATGTGAGAATGTCAAATTACAAGAAGACTTAATTCCAATGGATTCCTTATGTTTCAGGTGGTTCTGCCATTTTGATGATGATAACTATGTAAACATTCCACTACTGCTGAAACTGCTGCAAGGATACAACCATACACAGGACTGGTACCTGGGCAAGCCCAGCCTCAAACACCCCTGGGAGATCACAGACAGAGACAACCCTCAGGTGAATACATTGCTTCGTCATACTAGAACTTTTGTTGTATTTGAGATTACACTTTATCAGTAAAGTACAGATTCTAGTACTTACTTGTGGAAGACGTGGTTGGTTTGATCACAGAATCTGTAGTTTGGCAGTTAGATGTGTGACTGAAAGTGTAGGTTGGAATCTCAGATGTGATGCAACCCCAGAAGACGACTAGAATCTGTACTTTATGCAGGAAGTGTAATCCAAAGTGTAACATGTTACATTTCACCACTTTCTGAAGGGCAAAGTGTGTCATACTTTGCAGTTTGCCAAGGACTTTTGAGATTTCCAGCCAGAACTATGCTCTTACCAACATTTTCGTTGGAATTTCGTGTTATTTATGCACAGTGTTAGTAGCTAAGCCTTACTTGACTGAACAGACTTTTACTGGCCTGAGACTTTGGATCGGTGGCTGAGGTGCCAGAATGCTTTGCCTCATACCAAACAATTTAAAAGATGACACCCAGCATTTGGGGATATACTGTCAATATACTGTATCTTTGCTGGGTATCTATGCTTAACTGTACTTTCTCAGTGGACAAGTATTATGAAACTAGCATTAGTTCATAAAATCACATCTCGGGTGCATGAATGAGACATTCAAAACCCTTTTACCTGACTTGGAGTACTCCTACACTGACTGAGGAATATCTGCTTTATATTGAAGCAAAACAAGCCTAATGGATGAAAATATGTATCACAATCCATATGAAGTCAGCATGAGGAATATATTGAAATAGAGAATATCATTTTATAACTTAACATTACAGACTTTATGTCTTTATCAATGATGGTTGAGGGACTTGGTCTGTCACATGTTGTGATGCCTATATGGTGTGGGATTGTTTGGTCCAGAGTATCTGCAATCCAACTAAATATTGCTACAATATTTGTATTGGTTTTCCCAAATCACTGCCACCTTTCTGCAAAATCTCTAATATTTGGTGGAAGTTAATATAAGCTTATTTACCAGCAGGTGGAAATGTACTTGTACAGGTAGTATGTGCGCACTTACAACACTCCATGGACTATTTACTGTCTGTTTATGGATAATAAGTTACCCATAGCAGTCAGATAATGACACTTTGTCTCGAAGTTTTAGGAGACGTTTGTCCCAATGGATAAAAAGATAAAGTGAAACTCAAAGCATGAATGGAAACTTCGACATGAAAACTCTGACATCACCATTCTGGGTATCTTGAGTCTGGATGATACAGTTATTGAAACAGGTCATGTTGGCCTTTGTTAAACATTTAAAATAAATATCAAAGAATCTTTTTTATAACTCACTAGTTTGCTTGGTTCTGGAGGACAAAAGTGGTAGTTGCTTAATGTATGACAACAGAAATTTTGTTTGAACATGGCTGAACAAGTGCCCCTACAGAAGCTCCAAGGCTCAGTGCTATCTATTGTACGGTGTATTTCAGGACGATATCAATGTGTCTGCCCAGGTTTCATCATGTGCCGCAAGTATGGATTGATGCTCATACTATCAACCTTTGGTTTGTTTGTCCAGACTTCAATACATGCAGGCTATCATGAGATACAGTAGGGCACTCATGGTCTTACTTGTTTAGTATATATGTAAAGAGATCGCCTCCAAGCATTAAACTAAATGATGGATATTCACGGCTTCTTGTATAAACAGGGGCAATGAGGTAGCCTAGTGGTTAAAGCGTTCGCTCGTCATGCCGTAGACCTGGGTTCGATTCCCCACATGGGTACAATGTGTGAAACCCATTTCTGGTGTCCCCCGCCATGATATTGCTGGAATATTGCTAAAAGCGGCGTAAAACTAAACTCAGTCAGTCAGTCAGTCAGTCAGTCTTGTATAAGCATTTTGAATTTTCATTTTTCTTTGATTATTTCAAGCAAATATTCGTCTTTATGAGTTTTTCAATACTGGCGAGTGTAGGGCCCACATCTGCTGGTGTGTCGCACTCTGTGATGGTGTTTGAAATTATCTTACTGCTGAGCCCTGCTTCTGGTGTCCACTACAGTGATCTCGCTGGTGTATTGATAAGGCGGCATAAAACTTGTTACTTAAATATTGGCTCAGTTTACAAACACAACAGACTTAGACAAGACTGCAGACATCATTCACGATCAAGAATCACAGCTGGATTTGGAGCTGTTGTAGCCTCATGTGAAATGGATAATTGAACAGAACAGCTCAATATTGTCCCTGCTGACTTTGTCAGTTGAGTATTAATATGGAAATTATTGAAGTATTTAGAAATCAGAAGCATCATCATTAGTCAGTAACTAACCCAGTTGATTGAGGTATTGAATGCCTGAAAACCTCAGTTTACTGTATTGATTATATGTCTGTTCATGTTAGGCACAGATGGTACTTTGTAGAGTCAGGCAATATAGACATTTATTGTAGTAATTGAGTCTTTAGGGGGAAATGTATTTTCCATTCTAACAGTTGATTAGCAACCTTGTGGGGATTCTGCTATTGTGATGTTTTACAGAACACGTTAATGCTATCTCATTTTGAACATACATACACAATTAACAAAGTTTCACGTCGATGATGGAGAACAAGTATTAGACTTCCCAGGGACCGAGCATGTTCCTAGGAAGGTGAGAGTAAGTCTCTGGCGTCACTCTGTTTGGTTTTGTTTAAGTCTTCAATATTGACTTCTGGTAGGGCCTATTTGTTTACTGGGACAGGTTGGTTATTAATGAATAGTAATTAATAATAGTAATATGATAGTATGTGTCTCCCTAATAATGTAATTTAAGAAATTAAGAATGGGCCTTTTCCTGGACCGACCCTTATACTTACCTCCATGTATTTGTTTTATACCATTGGTTTGGGTTAGCTGACCAATCACAACAATGAATACACAATGCCATTTAGAAAGTGGTCAGATGTTATACTAATAACATAACGTTATAAGGTTTTGAACTATTTTGAAGATGTGGGGACATCGATTGTTTTAGTGATTAGCCCTAGGATATTACAGTGCTGTCTAGACCCACTAAATACAAAGGGTACTAAGTGGTGGATATTTTCTCAATAATAATTTCATAGTTGAATTATGGGGATTAACGTTTGTTTGCATCAATGCATAGTAGACACCACCAATTTAGTCAGAACTTACATAGGATATACATTAAACATTGTTTCAATAGAGTTAACTATTGAAAGTTTCTGTTTTTGTATTTTGGTTTAATATTTAGAAAAAATCCAGATATTTTATTTTTAATACCTTATGTATTGACATATATTTAATTCAACTACCTGTTTCTAACATTTGTTTAGTTTAGTTTTAAGCATTATTGCACAAACTCATCTTCATATCTGATCCCCATGATAAAACTATTTAAGTGCAATATCCTTGAACAAAATGAAACTGTAAAACCCAATTTCACCTCACATGAAGTCATGCTTGCCAAATTCAAATCTGTTTTACATACTGCAGGAATATTCATGCATTGATACTAGGGCTAGTGTGATTTCTGTTTCATGATGTCAAAAAAGGATGTTCAGATGATTTATTATGATGGGAAACTGATTGGCTCTGCTAAGGTGATGCAATTATTGATCACAATGCCCATTATCAATATAGCATAGGCAGTAAAGTGACAAGTTCATGAGGCAAATGAGCACCTTGGGTTGTTAATTTCATGGCAACAGACAGTGTATTTACCAGTAGAAACAGATTAAGATTGATGACTTGATAGGTTAAACTGATTGCAAGCCAGGATCACTGACAAAATTTCCAACACAGCCATTCAATAATATAATAAATACAGAAAGTCAGATGCTTGTTCAGTAAATGCTTACGGCATGATCAATGTACACAGAACTCAGATAAATTGTGTGGCACTAAGTCTGTGTCTCCTTCAGTGAGTGAGAGTTTGATGTTAGGACCACCACTGGTCATTGGACCAGGCAGTAGTAGAGGAAGATGTAGAATATACTCTTACTTTGTCATGGGATTACTGACCCAGAACAGTACTGACAAGCAATGTGACATCTCTTGATTTGTTGCCATGGCGTTTGATTCAGAAAAAGAAATGGATTATTTACAGTCAAAACCAATAGTGATTGTTTAAAATCTAGAGCTATAATTTCTTAGGAAATTATTTTTTATCTCTTTAAAAAATTGTCCAGTAATGAATTATGTTATTGTAAAATCAATGGTAAAGTTGATGGTTAGTCCTAGATATGTACCAAACCAAAGGTTTAAATGGTACCCATTTTTGTGGATGCTTATAGAACTGCCCCAGGAAGTATATCTGGAACCCAGTATGAAGATATGAATGTTTGTTGACAGTATTCCAAGGCCAAAAAATATAGATCTGTGAATAGATGTGTTAATACATCAGCGGCCTTACCCATTAATTCTTCATGAGCTCTCATACTAGGTAACCACAGTGCCAGCACTTGTATAACAAGGCACTATTTACATACTTCCTGGAGCAATCTTTCTCGTTTGGGATATTCATATTTCCTGCTACGTGTTTGGTATGTGTAATCTTGAAATGATTCCCCTATTTACCACTAAACCTGCTGCTTGGTGACTGAGGGAGTCCAGCTATCCTTCAGCAGTTGGAATCAATGCAGAGTTACAGCCAATCCAATGAGTAAATAATGAGTATATTTCCTTATTTGCAAGTACTTACAGTTTAAGTAACCTGCATAGCTGAATTGTTTTTATTATGAGCACATGCTATTGATGCAAGCTTTAGTGTTCAGACATTAGATCCATTTCTCTCTCTTTCTCTCACATGCATGCACGCACTTACACACGATTTGGACTTAGTCTCAAAAGGGAGGGGTGGGTTTCGTTTCTTGAGCACAACTCGAAAACCGTTCAATATCTTTCATCAAAACTTTGTAGATATATCAAACAGGACCTAATGTGGTGCCTTTTGCTATTTACAGATTTTTGCCATTTTTATTTTTCTCAGTTTCCATGGAAACGATTTGGACTTAGTCTCAAAAGGGAGGGATGGGCTTC